AAAAACGAGTTCAACCCACTTCTATAAATCGAAAGGAGACTGCGACCATAACAGAGGCTACAACATCTTGGTCTTCATATATAGAATCCATTAATGTTGTGCAGCAGATATTAGAGGCATAATCTCAGTCGGCTCAAAGTATAAGGATTTAATAATGAGTATTACATGAGCCTTGACCATGGGAAATAGCAAACCATTTATACAGGCTGATTTTGAGTAATATGAAACCACATAGTTCAGATATAGCTAGACAAAGAAAGCTGTAATTAAAGTAATTGAAGGCAAGTTTGAAAAAAAGATAAACACTTGGTCTTGATAGACAAGAGGGCACCAAGGGATGCGACCAGAATGTGATATAATAGCATGGTGGGAGGCTAGTAGCTCCGTTACCATGATACTGAGTAGAGGGTTAAAGGACAGCAAACGTCTATATCAGTGTTGTAGCCTTTCTTGATGAAGCTGGTGTGCAGTGTTACAGCTCATTTAAAGCTAATACTGAATAATTGCTTAGGCATGGCAGATACGGTGATTGAGATTGGAATCAAAGAAATATGCCTCAACTGTTTAATGGAAAATTGGTCAATGATATCATTTTGGCAAATTGTGGCTATGAACTAAGAGTGAGGTTATAAAGTGACGATATCAACTTTAATGCCAATAAAAATGTTTGGCAACGAAGCAAGTCTGATACTTGAAGTATATGCTGCAGCAATGGCAGACAATGCAGAAGTGGACGCGTTATTCAAGGTCTACATGAAAATATCAATGCTTGCCTTAATAGCTATAGAAAAGAAATAAGGAGATAATAAGGAAATACTGGTATAAGCTTACCGTGCAATTTCTTCTGAAGAGCGAAGAAACTCGGACATTGTTGAAGAAATTAACTTTGCTTGGCGCTGCATCATATCATGCAAACGTACAGGATGGTGAGGCAGAGTTGCAAAGATACGACCCACACTCATGATGCAGGTATTACGTTCACCTCTACAAGAACGACTTGATGAAAGCATAATATGGCTACGACTTCCTTGAACGCAGACGACTTTTCTGCAGGCAAAAGTAAATGGAGGCATAATGCGATCCGATCAAGAAAATTTAAATGCTTTTACTGGCCTAACCAAATCATTATGAAAAATGAAATAAGAATGATCTAGGATGGAACTTTTAAAATATTAAAATCAAATGTCTGCATAAAAACTAAACGTACAAGCGGTCGGGATAAACGTCTTCTGTCAGCTCGGTTTGAAGGTCACCGTAATGGCCCGATATACTAAGCTCGGAAGACTTTTCTGAGAACATACCTGTATGAGTAGGTAGGAATATAAATAAGATAAAAGTATATCTAAAAATTTTAGTTGGTATGAGAGAATAATGCGCAAAGAAGAGCAAAAATGACTGGCATTTAAAATAAAAAATCCTCAGGGCAAATATAATACTAATAATGTTCCTATATATAAAGAATCCCAATTATCTAATCAGAACGTTTAAGAAGATTAATATTAATGAAAATAGTAAACTTAAAAAGAGTTGATATTAATCAAAATAAAAGCTAAGGGAATGACTAAGTAGATATGAAGAAAAGCTGGATTTTGAAGAGAAATGTAGTAAATTTATATTTGTGTATCCTTTATTTAGTTTGAAGAGGCGAATAAAGGCATTCCGAAATTTGCCTCACTTGAAGGCTAAGAATTGCCTATGACCTGACTGTCAATTTGTCCGATAATTCCTAGGAGTACCGTCCTGCAAACCGAATGAATTCGCGGTGAGCTTTCCCCGTCAACTAAAAGGCCGATGCCGATGTAGAGAAATAAAAAACATGTTTTACGATAGAAGTTGTTTGAACTTGTTTTCGCAACTTGGTCATATTGATAGGATTTATAGGAAAGCACCTAGTCCGGAGTCCCTAGTATACATAATAATTTTCGTAGGATCCCGTCCGCCATCTCCCTGGTTCAAGTATTTAATTCGACCCCTGCCACCCCAGCTGTGCTACTCGAGTCGTTATTTCACAAACTCTACGACCTGGAGACTAAAATGAGGCTAATTATCTCGAGTAGTTCTTATGGTCAAGCCTTTGCCTCATAAACCCCATCTATGGTAAAATAGGCCTACTATTAGCCAACTAGGTCTTTGATGAATTGTAGTGTCGTGCTAAGAATGACAAGACTAATTGACGATGCCGGCGAAACGTATGGGAATACACCACTTCCACGGTCCGACTCTGGAAATTATCATGTATACTAGGGACTCCGGACTAGGTGCTTTTCTCTAAGTCACCCTATAAATATGACTAAGGTTCGAAAACAAGGTCAAACAACCTATATACTTCCAAAGGAGACTGCGACTACACAAAAGTCCACATCATCTTGGTCTTCGTACCTTCGCTGCTTTACGATAGTTCACTAAGTACAACGATAAGAAAGGTTGGCGACTTCAATCTTACCCATTTTTACAGCTTAGAATTCTACAGTAAATGAGATCTCTCCCATAGTTTGACGCCCTACCGGGTAAATTTTGGCCCGATTTCAGGTTGATCTCTCTCATTGCAATTATCTGTTAGTGACTTCATATTATCCATCATCAGCCGCTCCCTGATGATGTCTCAACCTGTTAAGGAACAGTTGTCCTGGGTCCAAGCATCCATGGTAATTTAAAACATTTCATTCATTTCGTTTATGAAGATAGGGAAATATTATAATTTTATTAACATTGAGACCAAATTGCGAAGTAGTTGTTTAAATATCGCATAATTGCTGTTGGCTGAAATGGCATTTTGAAATTCTCTACTAACTTGTGAATAATTGTTTAAAAATAAATGCATTTCCCAATCGTTTAGTACCAGTTAATTACGTCTGCCAGGCACAGACCAATTATTAAACTTGCTTTTATGATGAACATTTGGAAAGTATATGTATGAGACGAACTGGAGATATGAAAGAAACGCACGTATTTTTGCTTCGTAAAAGATCTCTTTACCTAACCCACTATTTTCTTTACTGACTAATTCTATTTTAAATTTAATAATCCCTCCTAGTGTATCCATAATCCTGTAGTAACTTTACTCCACAATCAGTTTGGCAACATTTCATGGTCATCTCTCGACTCATGTAACACCAAGCGGAGCATAGCTTACCGGCACTGTGTACCACGGACACTAGGCGAATCTAGCCGCCACATCGAGCCATTTCTTTGAACTAATCAGAACGTGGCACTATAAGTACACAAAAGTATTTTAAGTCGGAAACTAGCTCGACTATGAACAGTGCCTATTGACCCCCTTGCGCCATCGCTACCCTTTATAATCGAACGCTGCCCTCTTGCACCAACACCACACTGCAACATCGCCTGGGCTTTTCCCACATCGAGGTCCTCGCCTGTAACTTTCCGTCTTTTATACAAACACTGCGACTCTATACAAGGCTGTAGTTGTCTATACGGTAGCGGTAGGCCGAGCGCATATATATAGTAAATAGTGTTCTAATTCACTAAGAGCCCATCGAATTTTTCCTAACTTTATTCAGCATGTTGTGGCTGTATTCGACATAAGTAAATTATAACTCGGGAAATAGGAGTCTCTTGAATCAGGTAT